CACCCTTTGTTCCTTAGGAGGCAGATGCTACCCTCCACTAATATATACAAATGTACCTCATTAGGTATTCTAAACAAAGCTCTGCATGCAGAGATTATGATTCTATTTCAGATTTAGCATCATGCATCCTTTCATTTAAACTGAAGGGCTTTCATCTCTTGCTCAGGAAGACAGAACTGTCCACAGTTAGGCTCATATATGGTTCTGGATGTGCAGGGACATTAGTCAATAAAATCCTAAGGCATGTGACACTAAAACAAAGCCCTTTTTGTTTGTGTTTGGATGTTTAATGTAGTCTACATTTGAACATGTTTAATTTCCTTTCATTTCAACTTGCTTCTTTCCAAATCACCATGTGGAGCCACTTTTGTTCAAGATACGGATTTTAATGTAAGAGAATTTTTAATGTGACAAAGATCTGAGAATCACGTGAAAAGGCACACTACATCACTGCCCACTCACCCAGTGTCCGTCCAATTTATACACAGAAGTAAATGCGGCTCAACTTCTTCATGGTCATACTGCTTACATTTTTTTGTTGTTCATTTAAATAGACACATCTTGCAATCTGTACAATGCAAGATGAAAAAGCTGTCCTGATAGATCGAAGCCTTTGAGGCAATTACTACTGATTTTAGATTTCCTCCTAGAGCAGTGCTTGGGGGAGCCACACAGCGCTCTGGGGATTCCTTAAGTGAACACTTGGTGCCGCCACCTTTTAAAGATGAGTCAATTGCTTAGTTCATAAGTTTCAATCAGTCATTTCCCACAGCTGTCTCTTTGTGGCATTTTTGAATTAACCTGCACTGGCACCAGATTTAATTGCATCACTATGTGCTGTATTTTATTTCATACTGTGCTAATAATGCACCTGTACAGTGTGTAAGTTGCTTCATGTTGAAAGCTATTTTGCCTATCTCTATGCTTCTGTTGTATCAAACTGTCTACTTGCAAGGGATTGCTCTAAAAATTTGCACTGTGGAAACCTACACATTACTGATAAAAATACTCTGTATCACTATTCCCATTGTTTTCCTAGTTATTTCATGATATTTGATTCAGGGAGGCAGTTTCTTCCCCAAGGAACATTTAGTAGTTTCTAGAAACATTTTTGGTTGTCACAACTGGCATGGGGATACTTTGGGCACTGACTTTTAGTACAGAAGCCCATAGTTGTTAACTCTCTCCTCTAATGAAGACTGCCCCAAAACAATCATTGGTAGAAAAAAATGCCAGAAAGTGCTGAGGATGGAAAATTTCACATTTAACTGGAGGGACACTTGCGTAATTCCTACATGTGGCTGCATAAGCTTTGTCTGTTCCTCACATTAGGATAGTGAGTACATCAGCAGAGGCATGGCCAGCTTCTCTGTGATTTTAGCAACTTCCTGGGTATAATTATACAGATCCTTTCCTCCCCAGTGTTAATCATGGATATAGAGCTTCTTTTAAGCATCTTAAATGCCTTTCACATTTGCATCCTTTAAACTATATATATATATAAACTGGGTATGGTGGTACTTGTCTGGAATCCAAGCACTCAGGAGTCTGACTCAGGAAAATCAGCACAAATCCTAGGCCAGCTGGTGCTACGATGTAGTGAGTACCAGCCTGAACTGTGGAGGGAGGCCCTGTCTCAAAATGCCAAACCAACCAAACAAAAAAACTAAAACCATGTAGATATTATATACACATATGTCTATGGATGGGGCTGGATGGACAGACAGATAAACAGATAAGAGGGAAACATTCACTGGGCACCCAGGATGGGCACCACTTAGTCAATGAACGACACTATTTGCTTAACTTTCCTTAGGACATACGTTTACACACTGACAAGAAGCCAGAATTTGTCCTTAACAGTTCAATAGTATAGAAACTATTAATATATTTAGTGTTTGTTATGCAAAAATATCAAATTACATCCCCAATAGAAATCTCATTTGTCTTTTCTATAGATCTGCAATATAGGATTCCTTAGAAACTAAACATTATAATGTTATAAAACAGCTATACGGTTTTGCTTTTTCTTCCATCCTTCCCTCTTTGGCTTTTCCTTCTCTTCCTCCCTTCCCATCCATCTTTCTTTTTCTTTCGTGTGATCCAGGCATTTATTTCCATTTTCTAAAAATAAAAGATATTTTGAGACTTTTACAGCACTCAACTTGTCACAAGTTGAAGTGTATGCGTGGTGTAGAGTGGTGGAATAGGTCGTCCAGTGGCTCATGAATGCTGGCCTTCATTTGGGAAACCCGAGTGGATAAGAAGGTAGCATTCATGGACAGAATGTGACTCTTCCGCCAAGTGACCATGACATAAAGATCTCTTCCATTTCTAATCCAAAGCATAAGATCAATACATACGCTTAGTTACTTTTCAATAGAAAACTGGACTTCTGTTTAGAACATCTGCAAATGACAAACACCAGTAAAAGGAAAGCACTCTGTGCAAACTGGGAAGTCCATAACAAGTTGCCTTTATAATCAGTCCCTCAAACTCAAGAGAGAATTGGTTCATTCCAGAGCAATATACAAACGCTTCAAGGACAGGGACATGTATACTTTGGTAAATTCTGATGTGACATACTTAGGAAGACACACTAAAGCCTACCACCAGCTTTTAGCAGATGTCTCATGTTTCCACTCAGGATTACACAGAAGCATTCACTCCTGGCTGAACTATTACACTGCATTTAACAAGTACAGCCACTTCCTGTCACTGGACACCTACCACAATTGTCCCTATTTTAATAATGTCCCAGTGTTGAGACTGCCTCTGCTGTGCATATCTAACAATGTCAAGAATGAAGTCATGGCCATTAGGGTTGTTGTGTTTTCTTTTTCTGCTACTGTACTAAGAGCTGTGAGTGCTTTAAATGAGCTCATCTTTAAAACTAGCAGTCACACAGCTTCCTAAGCGGAGTGATTCTTCCTTCCTAAAATGGCGAGTAGACATGGGAATGAGAACATTATCAACAGCTCATGTCCACCCCCATCCTTGCTCCCCACACCAGCTCTACGTCCCAGCAAATGTCCAGGTTGTTTTTAAGCAACAGAAAAACAAAAATGAATCATAATGTTCTCCTCTAGTTTCCTTTGTTAGGGGTGAAGAAAGTAAAAAGGAAGACTGGATTAGCCCCAAGCTGAATTCTATGGCTCTGCAGATTACAGTAAGGAAATGATTAAAGTTCTTCCAAATAAGAATTCTAATCACGCTGAAGCTTGTAACAAATAGTTAAAATATTAACTCACAATGCATATGTGACTTACTACCTTAAAACAAGCAGAAAAGAGTATAGTCCTTCCTTATCAAACCTCAATTAAAAACAAAACCCTAAGGCCAACTCCTCTTTAAATCAACATTTCTCTAACAGAATCAAATCACAAATATTTTATTAGGTCCAAATCAAAACCTAATTCTACAATTTAGATTCTTCTGTAAATAAAGTGACTTACAAATCTTGATTTGCAATTCTGATTGGTGTTCAACAACTGAGGGTGGAGTTAGCCAGATGGATGAGCAGGTAAAGACGCTTGCCTGCAAGCCAGGTGGCCTGAGTTCGGATCTCCAGAACCCATATCTAAGCAGGAGAGAGCCTGCTGTGGAGTATCACTTTAACTAGGCAAAGATGTGTTACATCTGTTTAAGCTGCATTTGTTTAATGATGTAAAGATGTGTTGCTTTGCCTGCCTAAGGTACCTGATTGGTCCAATAAAAAGCTGAACAGCCAATAGGCAGAGAAGGGATAGGCAGGGCTGGTGGGCAGAGAGAATAAATAGGAGGAGGACTCTAGGTTAGGAACAAGAGAAGAGAGAACAAGGGTAAAAGAGCAGGAGACGCCTGGAGGCAGCCAGCCAGGCAACCATTAACCAGGCAGACACATAGAAGCAGAAATGAAGGGCATACAGAATGAAAGGAAAGTTAAAAAGCCTGAAGGCAAAACATAGATGAAGAGAAACAGGTTAAACTAAGTTATAAGAGCTAGTGGGACAAGCATAAAATAAGGTGAGCATTCATTACTAATAATGTCTCTGTGTCATGATTTGGGAGCTGGCGGGCCAAGAAAGCCTGCTACAAGAACCAGCTCCACAAAGCTGTCCTCTGAGCTCTATGTGCACACTGCGGTATGAACGCCCCCACAAATAACATTTTTTAAAAAGTGTAAATATCTAGCTTAAATTTAACAGTTACCAATTTCTAAGCCACAGGCTACTTTGAAGATATCCATGCTTTTTGATTATTATCAATGATTTTTAATCATTATTATGGTCAAGGAACAATAGGTAAATACCCCCCCTTCTATTACAAACTATCCCTTGGTTAAGTAAAATGCCCTTCTTAAATCAACTGTTGCTCAGCCTCTGGATTCGTCTGGACATTGCACCTATCTACCTTAGGTCTACATATTGCAGATCACTGGTGTTCCTAGAATGCATATGCTTTGTCTTTAGGATACAGTTCAAATGCTTCATCCTTTGGGCTCCCTCTCTACTGCAGTAATCAATTTCCCTGCTTCCAACGTTCCCACCGTGCTTCTTATATTCACCATAGCATTACCAAGATATTGCAATTATTTGTCAGCATGATGGCTTCCATCACTTCTCTCAACAGAACACACATTCCTTAATGTATGTCATTCTAGGCATCTAAGTGCTTAACATTTATAAATTTACATAGATGTTTTTGAGTTATTTTCTCTTAAATCCTGTTTGCTGAAAGGTTTTTGTTTTTTAATGTGAGAAAGAAAACTGCAGTATCCACATATCCAAGGAGCTTGCCTCTTAGAATACAAGTTTAACAGACAATATTTGTGTAAAGATTCAAGTTAATTAATTGAATAAAGAAAACTATTTCTAAAGTCCAGAAGCAAAGGACCAACATTATACAAACCTAACATCGTTACAAATCTAAAATACCTTAAGTGTGCTTTAAGGAAGAAATGAGCCAAAACTTTGGCTACCCTTAAAAAAGAATGATTGTAAGGTTATCGAACACTCGGCTTCATGTAGGCATTTAATTAAGCCATTTATTGCTTCAAATGTGTCACCATGAACATTTAAATATACACTACAGCAGTAAGGCCTCATTTTTTTTTCACCACCTATAAACTGTGAACTCACACTTGGGCCTTTTGTGCCACCCACTGTTACACAAGTTTTGTACAACAAAGATTCTGAATGTCCTTGGTGTATATGTAACAAAGAATGTTAACTGCTGGCCGTGATGCTTTAATGAGGTAGTTCCATGCTTGGCCATGTATGTATGCATATACTACACATATACACAGCTATACCATTTAGTGACAGGTTCTATTCATTTCTAAGTATTTAATGTAAAATTTTGGTGTATTTCTTTATATACAGTTGGTAAGAGAATCTATGCTTGGTCTCAAAGCTTGCTAACGTGTTTTCTAAGTGACTCAGTAGGCAGAACTTGGGAAATGAGAGAGCTGTAGCAAATGAATTCAGGGATGCTCCTGACTTGACAAGGAGCTTTCTCTCAAAATAGACTTCCTCTAGCCAGTTCTCATAGAGTCAATGAGTTTGGAAAAGCCACACTGTGTGACTACAGGATGTAAATGCCTTTCATCTAAGAATCTCCAGATAGCATATGACTGAGCTAACAGAACACAATTGTTATACCTTTCTCAAGGCCTATGAAATCTCCATGAAAACACTATCATGAAATCACAACACCCTTGATGATATAAAATACTAAGGACCATATGAACCTGTCTTTGGGGCCAACAACAGTTATAAAGTAGCCTGTGGCAGTTCCGCACCACAGGATCTTAGAGCTGAACAAAGCTCCTAAGATGTATTAAAGCTCTACCCTTTAGGTAGCACTACATAGATTTAACACTGTCTTTTGATTAAGTTCTAAAAGATTCACAAGTGGGCTTCATTAAAACACAAATCTGATGGACTTCATACATTTCAATAAAAAGGAACTATGATATAATAACTATCTTTGAAATTTCAACAATTTTTCCTACCCACCACACAGAACGTATTTTAAAGGAACCCTCCACTATGTACAGTCCATCAGTCATTAGCACCTATAGAAGAAGACCTCAGGAGTGCTCTGAAGACATCTACAACAAGCAGTACTTTGGTTTCACGAAGCCCAGGGTGATAAAGACTTGAATTAACTGCCACATCACGGTATCATAGAATTAAACACAGAGCTGAAGTTTAAGGTCTCTTTAGTCATACTGGCCACACTGATTCCAATCCAAACATCTACAGTCATTATTTCCATTTATCTGCTGTAATTAGGTTTCTTTTTTATCCCTTAGATTCAAAGCAAAGCCAGAGAAATATCTTAGAAAAATACATTTGACACTTCCAATTTACATTAAAAATGTCCTTCCCTTATTCTCATAACACAATTTCCAACCATTATTATAGAAATCATAGATTACATAGCATTCTGCATGCTAACCACTAATCTTTTTTAGATTATGAAAATTAGAAATAAATTGCAATTAAGAAATTTTCATAATTAAGTGTGTAAAGTATAAATACAAGTTATTTTTTTAAAAACTTTATTTTAACACCTAATACAATTCCAATTTAAGGATTACTCGCACAAAAAAATAAACACATTTGGTATAAAAATGTATCACTTTAACGCCCTTTCCCCCATAGGCCCCCACCCCCACCCTCTTGAGCTGCACTCTATCTGGATGCAGAACATATAGACTAATGGCACGAATCAGGTTTCACCTACAGGAGTTTCTGTTTATGTACCCAGGTACTCTAGAGGTCACCAGCCCACTTTATGACATGAACCAATCCCTTCAGCCTGCTGAATGAGTTTCACAAAGAAACAAAGCTTATTATAAAGGCATCTTAAAAACCATTATCGCAAATCCTTTTTAGAAGGACTGACTTTTTTTTTGTATTTTTGTTTTTGTTTTTGTTTGTTTTTTTTGCAACCATTTATATACAGTGTAACATAACAGCTCTGGAGTACAGTACATGCAGCAGAATATACCTGTTGAATATAAAATACTTTCTTAAAATCTTCATCGTTGGAATTCTTTGAAGTTTAAATTATAGAATGCCCATTACTTTGAGAAAATGGTTGAGGAGTACAAATGTCTGCATATGTTGGCCACAGAAATAATCCAAGGCTAACTGGAATAATATTCTTAGCACACCAGGAGTGCATAAATAATTTACTTACATTATTAAAATACAACTCATAAAATTCAAGTTCAAGATCTTCTAGGATTGTCTATGTAAATCCTTCGAGTGGTTGCCTGGCAATGAGTCGTCTCTCTTCCTCGTGTCTGACTTTCCGAGTCCTGTATAAACGCCACACTGAAGCTGAAGCTCTTCCTTCCTCCAGGGAAGCAGCTCTATTTGTGCCGACTGCCCCTCCTCTTCATGGCGGCGGTACACTGTGGACAGTACCACTTCCCCTTCGGGGCTTCTGTCAAGCCAACACACCCATAGTGGAACCACTCTATCGGGCACTGGAAAACAAAGTGAAAAACAAGTGTTGGGACTTGTAAAGAATAGATGGAAAAAGTGCTCAGGAGACAGAGCATTTCACTAACCAAAATGAGATCCGTGCAATCACATTTCTTGATCCCAGCAGTACCTTAGAGGTTACTGAGTTCAACTGATCTGCCTCATGGACCAAGAATTGGAAGCACAGAGAAAGGATGCTTCTTTGATAAGGAGGCTCATGGACTCTACAATCTGAACACTAAAGAATGAACATTCACCCACTGTCATCTACTTGGACTGCTAGGCAGAGCCATCTTCCAAAGACAAAAGAAGATGAATCTTATACGAAGAAGGAAAGTACATTGAAGATTTTAAGATATTCAGACCTAAGTGTTCTCCCAGGAAGTGGAATGAGCTAGCTATAACTAGAGACATCAAGTGGGGCGGCTCTGCTTCCTTTCTGGTGCTCCATTCAGAGACATGGAGAAAAATCCTCTGTGAAACATTCAGAAACCCTTCATTCCACAGGAGTCATGACACCCGCAAGAGCCCAGGAGGAACCAGAGGGACCCCAGAGGACATGAACTCTCAGTCAGCATCTTCACTAGCTCTGGAAATGGAGAGGGGGCACTGCTTTGAACACCACCCCCCAACACACACACGTGACTGCACAGGGCGGTTGGGGAGCACACTGTTCCGCACCCTGTCAGGGAAGGAACACACACGACTGTCACTGCGTTCAAGCCAATCTTTGGTATTCCTCAGACTGTTGTACAAATTCCACTCTTGTTAACATTAGGAGTCCAACACTACTGGTGTCACCACCGCCAGAGGGTTCAAGCTACTCTTCTGAAGTAGGAACAAAAGGGGCTCTGCTGTAAGGCAGGCAAGGAATGAGTCAAAACTACTGACAAAAATCTGCTCAGTATTTAGTCAAACACGTATCTTTAACCAAAATTAAGTCCCTGCCGTGGTTTGAACTTGAAGTTTTCCTGAGAAGCTCCAGGGTTTGAACAGTTGGTCCCCAGCTGGTAGCACCATTTAGGAAGTTTATAGAACCTTTAGGAGAGGGAGCCTTGCTAGAAATACTGCACTGAGGACCGGTTTTGAGGTTTTACAGCCTGCTCCTACTTCTGCTTGCTGTCTCACTTTCTATTTCCCGCGTGTGGGCGAACCGTTTAATACTAGGCAGCCTCTTGACTGCCCGGCCAACCACAAGGTCCTGCTACTGTGTCTCCCCGCCAAGATGCATTGGATCCCTCTGAAACTGTATGCCAAAAACCCCTTTTCTCTCCCGAAAGCTGCTCTTTGTCAGGGCATCCTTATCAAGTAACTAACACATTTCCTAGGAGAGGAAGCAGGAATGCCTTCCTTCAAATTTCCCCATTTCCTCATCAGAGACGGCCCGTCCCAGCGTAAGTCTCTGGTGGAGGGCATGCTGAGTGCTGCGATAATGGAGGAAATAAGCCCACATTAGGTCTTCCTTGTTCCCAGGCTTCAGCTGCTTACAAGAATGGAGGACTTTAAAGTCTCATTTCTTCAATGTGGTAAACAGCCTGGACTTTAGTAGAAAGAAAGGGAAGCTCTTAGAACTGCCAGAAGTAACTCTCAAGAATTTAATCTGAACTTAACATTGTAACACTACCTTAAAAAAAGTTAAGCAGGGGACTCATGAAGGGACATGGTCCTGCTGTGGATATGCAGATACTCCTATCAGGAGAATGTAGCTATCATAAATGAAAACCTGATTTTCAGATCAGAAGATACAGTTAATAAGACAAATACTCAATTATCTACAACATTTTACATTCCAAAGAGAAAAATGTAATACTCACATCTTGGTTATCACATCCCACCATCTCGCCATAGGATACCTAGTTGAAAGAAAATTAGACAAACTCATTATAACTATGTAATAAGAACTGAATCTAAATTAGATATTTATGATGTCAGAGAACAGAGAGAAACTCACTGAAAATACAGTGAAGGAGTTGGGAATATGGTGGTTTTGTTATCTTTCTTAAAAGACTATGGGACAAGGGGATATGCCCAGAAACCACCTGCTCTTTGGAAATCTGAAAGAATTCACTACGTAAGCCACACAGAGTGGGAGTCAGATTTGTGGAGGTGGTCCTTGTGGGAAAACTAAAGTCTCTTTCTGGCTATCGACCATTGATGGGTTTATATCCTCCTGGGTCACTTCTGCATCAACAGAGTTTGCTACTGAGACCAGAGGAAGACAGCAGGTGTCCTCAATGACCCTCCACATAGTTTCTTTGAGACAGGGCCTCTCAAAATTAATAACATACATAACAAAACAACAGAAAATATAGCCAACTCCGCTGAAGTTAATTTATAAGAATATAAAATGGTTTTAAAACACATTTTAGCACACGTACTAAAGCCAACTAAAACAATCATTTCATATAAAAGTTCAAAGTGGTGCATTGTATTTAAGAGAAAATAATACTTAGTGCTGAACTAAGCTTTAGGAAATGCTATGCATATCGATTTTAGGTAGCAGAAATAGATGTATATCTTGGTAGACTGTATCAAACATTTATAACATCATTGTATTTGAATGGATTAATATAAAGTTAGTATAAAAGCAATTACGTTGAAAATGATGGTCATAATACTTGTTATTTAAAAGAAATGAGAACTGTAACATAATCTACAGCTAGGGATGGACTAAATAAATTATGGTACAAAGCATGAGAGCTAGCATTGAAAAAATTTTAACAAGAACCTTGTTTTAGTGAGCAAAAGAGAGTTATAGGCATACAAACATACCACGTCCATATATCCATATAGATTATGTGTACATATCTGGTATGGAATGAATGTTTGTATTCTTCAAAATTCCTATTTTGAAGCCATAACCCCTATAACTGAAGACTGGGCCCGTGAGGAGTGGTTATGGTTAAGTAAAGCCAGAATCTGATGGTTCCAGTGGCTGTACGAGAAGAAAAAATGAAGCTGGCACATGCTTGTCTATCTGCACGATATGGTGTCCCTGTCTCCCCATGAACACTCAGGAAACTGTCTTCAAACTATAAAAGTGGCCTCACCAGGAAGCTAGTCAACAAGTGTCAGTCTTGGCTCTCCCAGTCTCCAGAACCATGAGATGAGTCTCTGCGTGGTAAGCCACTTAGCCAGTAGTATATTATATTAGCCAGCATACATGCAAGGTACATAGTGGTGTGATATCAAAGTGTCTCACCACCGACTGTACTGGAAGGCTGACATTCTGTGTCACTCACATGTTTCTTTATATTCTTGGTATTTACAGCAAATATGCTACTTTTATAAGAGGAAAATTCTGCAAGTAAGTCATTCTTGATTTTAGCCAGAATAAAAATGTGCTGAAAATGAACCCGTTATCTTCCTTCTTGTTTATTCAGACTGCACTTTTATAGCTAGGCCCACACTTTTACCTGATTACAGATGCAGTATCGAGGTTCATTGGGGTCATAAGTCCAGTCAACTTGACTGTTGGAATCAGATTCGGGCACTACTGTTGCTTGCTGGGAGACTTCTTGTACTACAGTTGAAGATGATGAACATAAAGATAAGGAAGAAGAAGAGGAGGAAGAGGAGGAGGAGGATGACTGCTGGCTTGAAGACTTTGTGTTGTTTCTGGAAAACATTAAAGAAAGGTCAGTTTTCTTTGCTCATCATGAGAGGTCCCCTAAGGGTGACTACTAGTAACTGACATGAAAGAAAAGAACACATCAATGCCTGATGCTACGTTAAAGAATCTCATTCAGAAGCAACTTCCCAGAGCAAGGAAAAGCTACATTGTTTTCAATAGTTTATTTTTATTTACAGCTTTTTACTTCCGAAAAATAAAATTATTGAGAAGAAATACTTTAAAAATCTTCTACACGTCAAAGTTGAGAGTATCAAAATTCATGAATTGTTCACAACCAACTCTATTCTAGAGTTCTAAAATGCAGAAACTTATTCCAACTGTGGTTTTCCCTCCCGTCTCCCCTAGATCCACTCCTCAGTTTCCCTTCAGAAAAGGGCAGGCCTTCCAGAGGTATCAACCAAACATGGCGTATCAAGTTGCACTAAGACTAGGCATATCCCCTCATATTAAGACTGGATGAGGCAACCTAGTAGGAGGAAAAGGGTCCCAAAGCAGACGAAAGAGTCAGAGACAGACTCAGTTCCCACTGTTAAGAGTCCCCAAAAAACACTAAGCTATACAACGACAACATATATGCAGAGGACCTCGGTCAGACTCAAACAGGCTCCCTGTTTGTAGGTCCAGTCTCTGTGAGACCCTATGAGCCCTCGTTAGTTGATGCTGTGGACTATTTTCTTCTGAGTTAATTAATTATTTTGGCCTAGCATTTATCCCTTTTATATCTTCAGACAAAGGGTCTCTCTGTAGCCTTGGCTAGCCTGAACTCCCTATGTAGACTAGGCTGGCCTTGAATTTGAGGTAATCCTCCTGCCTCTGCCTTCCAAGTGCTAGGCATGCAGATGAGCACCATCGTGCTTGGCTTGAATTTTCAGCATGCGTAAGTACTTGGTGCACCCATTATCTTAGATGAATAGTGGCAAATGATGAGTTTTCAATTCCGCAGTTCACACAACCACCCTAAGTCGCTCACACACCAAATCGAGGGCTGTTCTCATATAATCAGTTTTGGGGACACAAGCAAAAATTCAGATGCTTTACTTTTAATCAAAATGAAAAATCTTGTGTAAAAAACTTCCTGGGATACAATTTGTACTTTATGTTAATTAACCATGAACCACCTAAATTAAAAATGGAAACGGTATCATAAAATGATTTCTCTGAAAGAATAAAAGAAAGTAAAAAGAAGTCATTTATATAAAAAGTCAGAAAAACTGCAAACGACTTTAACAGTTGAAGGACTTCCAGCCTTCAAGGTAAGGAAGGCAGTGCAAACAGCTGTCTGCCTGCCTGCCTGCCCGCCCTAGCATTCAGCTGGGGCCACTGCACCGGCCTTGGTTAATTCCCGGAGGCCCAGCTGAGGCACACAGTACTGAGCAAAGGCACGCAGCACATCCATTACAGGACTTACTTGCTCTTCCTGCCACTTCGGGAGTCAGCTGCCGAGGAACTGGCATTCTGTGTTAAGGTCGTCATGAGGGCCGATGAGGAGGAATAGCCAGCTGTTTCTCTGGGCATTGAAAATTCTTTTCCCAGCTGAAAGTCATTATTCTTAAATGCTTCATAACTGGCTTTTAAACTTGATGTTCTTCGTCCTTCTTTCATCTTAAGTAGACATGCATTGACAGCATTAATATACGTAAATACATATTTTCTCTTTTAAGCGTTACAAGTTATGGCTATTTAAGTCATTTCATGTAAAGATTCAAAATCATTTCTAGGCTAAATTGAGAAAAACTATGGGAAATAGAACTTCTTAACTTACACTGTGTGCAAACTACAGAAATGAGCTAACTGCAGCCAACACAAATCCAGCAGAAAGCCCGACTGTGGAGCGAGAACAGTAACAGTCCTCACAATGAGAGCAAGGCTACTCGAGCACTGACTGGGAGAAGGTCGGTGTGTGAGATGCACGAGGCATCACGCTCTACCCACTGACCCTCTGCAGTATTAATAAAGCACCACCTAGCCTAAATGCCCCACTTCAAACCGAAACCACACGGTCTCTGAACCCCGTCTCTTTACATCCAGTGGTTGCTCTTGGGGTCTGCCAAGGACAGGAACAGAATGTACCATCTGCCTCTAAACCCTTGCCTGGTACCTGGGCTGTTGCTTGCACTGCTTGAGCTGCTGCCATGGTGATGGCCCCTGCACCAGTCCCTGAAGATAAGGAGCCAATATTATAGGATGCCAGGGGTTGGGACGAGTTCACATTGTAAGCATTGTTGGAGGAAGCTGTGGAATTATTATTTCGACAACCTGTAAAGAAGTAAAGAAAAAAATTGGTTGCAGAGAACACAATGTTACTGAGTTTAAACTACATTATTTATTATCATTTCCAACATATAATCATTAAAATTCTTCAGATACTTTAGGAATTGAATCAAAGAAAAATGGAGGCCCATTTTCCCTTTTCTATTCTCCACCTGTAGACTTTAACCAGGTGACACATGTAGGAATTATAACCCTGAGTGCTTCTCTATCCCCTTACTCCAACACAAACAAAACAAGTGAATTATCACATTGAAGAAAACAAACTTACCCAGTGTGTTCTCCTTAGAAGCATCAGATGTAAGGGTGGACAGAAGAGCTTCAGATTTGAACTTCTTTTCAGGGATATGATCTGATGCTGTATGGTGAGAAGTTGGATTATACTTCCTTTCTGAATAAAGAGAAAGAATTCACACAATTTTAACCTTTAGAGGACTATAGACAGGGCATAAGAATACTTCCACCTTTTTATAAGCCAGTACAGTTATGATCTAGGTTCCCCATGAAATGGTCATTGTGCTCACCAAGGAGAGGACAAGCAAACAGCCTATGCCATGCTTCACCGAGACAGTAGACACTTCAAACACTTCAGAAACTTTAGGAGCAAAATACTAAAGACAACCCATGATGCACTATGGTTTCACATATACCATGAGAGGAAGTCCATTTTAATATATTACCTATCATTGAGAATAGCTTTCAATTTACCACTCTTTCCTATTGAATTATCTTGTCAAAAAAAATTAAAGAAAGCAGCAAGACTACTACTAGCCATTCACACAATTCCTTTACTCACTAACTCATTAATAGTGAGATTTTATCACATGCTAAATGTTAGGCTAAGCACTGAGAGTTAAGGCTGACCGAGACATACCTTACATATTGTTCAGGTCAGACATGATACTCCCTAGGTCTGTGGAAGCTGATAGGTGCTGCTGGTATTTCTATATATTCTGTCTCTATGTTTGTGGGGGGCTATCCCACCCCCACTTTTCCCCAGGGTACTCTTGAGCAGGAGCAGCAGGAAATATAAGATAGAAGTATAGCTAGAGAGAGACAGACAGAAACATAGACTAGCCTCGGGAGGGCCTGGATCCTTATCCATCAGGCCCTGACTGTATCTGCCAAAGGGCTTTTAAAGGAATGCCAAGGGGTGGAACAAAAGACCTCCACCCAGGCATGGTCAAGTGCAGACTCTTCCAACCACCTGGCAACTTTGCCCATGGTCAAATCATCCCCTTGTGCAGCTCTACTGTGTCAGGCAAACTCGGATCTCACAGGGAAACTTCTGAGGGCTCCCACATATGGTTATAGAAGAGACTGCCTGTTCCCAGATTGATTACACTTTGCTTAAATGTAGAAGTCTGTAAGTAAACTGTGACAAAAGTCTATTTTTAAAAAGAGAAAGGGAAAGATATTTCTCAATTGGTTATGTGGAGTTAATAAAGAGAATATATAGGTGACATCAATGAGTTTTAAACTATACTTGAATCAAACTTACTTTCCACGGGAGTATGTGAATGAGCGTGGTGATTGTTCACTGGCTGAGAAGGAGTATCTAATTCCAAAGATCCTAGAGAGGGGCACAGAAATAAAACAGAATTAAATGTCACCATAGAACTTTACACATCAACCAACCATAAGCAATGTATCCCCTCACAGATGACTGCCCAACTCTGGTGCATAGCCTATCATTTTAGCTGGACATGTAGAGGGTCATGACCTTTGATTTCATTTTGAACAATCCTCTCTCTAAGCCAAGATTCATTTCTCAATATTCACTTTAAGTATACAAAAGTTCAAGGCATGCTAATGTCTAATTAGGGAATCTCTGGTGCTGGGTGATACATAAATAGGAAAAGGGAGCATTACAGCTCTATTAATGGTGAGATCTAGAAAATTCAACCTCGTGACAGATTCACTAGGTAATCCTGAAGGTCTAGGTATGAGGATATTACTGCACAAAGAGAAATTCTTTCAATCACGAAAATGAAGTGTGATTCTGACAACTCCAGAAAAGAATTTAGGGCTTTGCCTGCAAAAGGTGAAGGATATAATTCCTAATACCAAACTTGAAAATACTTCTAAAGAAATTCTCTGAGTTTATTCCCTTGAGATAAAGTCATGTCAGGGGGCAGGGTGGAACCGTTTTTGTAATGTGATTCAGTTCCATTTCATGTGTCTGTGTCCTCGGAGTAGATGTTTTTATCAACCCTCCTGAAGCAGTGAGTAGGCGGGCCTGGGGTATTGTTATCCACAGCTACCACCAGCATTTCCAAAGGAAAAAAACCTTCAAAGGCAGTTATACAATATTTCATTTTGTTCCCCAATACCCATTATCCTCAGATAGGTTTCCTCCAGAATAAAGGTATTGCCAGCAGAGAAGACATTATGTGAAGTGATGATCTACTTTTAAATTTAAGAATGCAATTCTCGCTAACAGGCCCACGCCTGGCTTCTCCAGATGAACTTCACATGTCTGATAAACACAGAGCTTGGGTACCTTGCAGTCATGAAACCCACTATCTGGCAGGAGACCCAGGAACAAGTGCTGGCTGGTGAATGCACCAAAGTACATGATCTGTTGGAACACTGTAATTGAATTCTCACAGAACTCACCCTCAACACTCAATGACTACCTACCTCCTCTGGCCCTACTACCAAACTATCTGCTTTTATTTCACCTATTTAGGTTGGAAGAGATCCTAAATCAGTTAAAAACAGAGATCTTGTTCACATTTTGAGGAAGTCTCAGAGTTAAGCCCAGGATGTATCTGGTACTAAGTTGGAGTACTGCAGGTTAAATCTTGATAGACAGATAGATAAATAAAGAAACAAACAAACAAACAAACAAACAAATAAATAAATAAAATACACTAGCATGGCTTCTTCTGATAAGGGGAGATTTTGGAAACAAAAGAGGAAGTGTTATGGACCCAATGGAGATCTCAGTGCACACAGGTGAGGCAAAGCTTCAAGAAGTTCCTAAGGGGAAATGCAATCTTTCTCAAAGCCTAAGCACCTAAAAACAGACTTCATTTGTGTCTCACTCTTGGCACTTGTGTTTCTTTGCCTCTTCTTGCTCACCACTGACCAGATTAGCATCCGAAGACATTAAAAATGGAAGGTGTGTCCAATGTGGAGCCACATAATCACAATCACAGTGCTCTAGAACCTGAGGCAATAAGGTTTTATATAGCAAGATCACATCTCAAAGTGAAAATAAGACAAAATGGAAAGACTTTGTACGTTATTTTCATAAAGAGTGAATGGGATGACATCTTGTATTATCTCTCTCAGAGTCGATGACTCAAAGACTTCAATGCTAGACTCCAAGTTATGAGACCCAGACGCCACCATCCACCATAGGGCATGCATGCATTATTTGAAAGGCTTCTGTGAGAAAATGTCTCCTTGGTGACTGACACAGGTAACTTTCCACGATAGATTAAAAACCATAAATTTTACTTACGCCTCTCTAATATTTCCGTAATCCCAGCATTATCAGCTTCCAGCTCCATTTTAAACTTAGCCAGTTCCTGATCCAGTTTTCTCAAGTGGCGATCTACCTGTTTCAAAGAAGATAAAAGATAACACCCAAATCTGGGACCCTTCATTAAACCATTCATACAGTTTAATGAAGAAACTTAAATCTTTGTTTCTTCCAGCAAATTTGTCAATCACCCTACACCTTAGGGTGCTAGGCCAATACTCTCTCAATCTTATGTTTAAGAAACCAGAGTCTCAAATACGTTAGAAAAATGTTCTATGACCAATTTTCAGAAGTGGGGCTGTGAAAATCCAAGCAAGTGCCAGTTCTGAGGGCTGGAGGACTAGCAATGCTTCACAATATGCCTAAGTTACCTTCTGCCTGAACTCTATCCTGGAGTCATCTACAGTGTCCTACAGAACTGCCCTAAGCCTAACAAAGGGACACAGGCAATCAGTGCTGCACAGCAGGAAAGTGAACCATTCTAACTGTAGATGTTTATGTAAAGGCTCAAACAAAAGGGTAAAAAAGCTAAAAATCATCATTTCTGAAAAAGTTTGGCTAAAATGGTTTCATTTGTAATACTACTGCCTTAGTTATGATGGCAAAATTTTATCTTATGATAAAATATATCTTTTCAATAACTTAGGAAAATTATGATACTTTCAACTAGCAGTATTCTAATATATTTGCAAGATGAATGTTAAATATTTTCCAATATTCTTCCAAACTTACTATTATAAAAATGAACAAACAATCCATCAAATTCTTTGAACTGTATTTTTATTGCAATACTGACAAGATCTTTTTTCAAAATCTAGCCTCACTGAATTACTGTTAAGACTAATGACAGCAGAGGATGGAGAAATGGTCCAGTGGTTAGAAATGCTTAGGTTCTAGCACAACACTGAGGTTAGGTACCCACCAGAGGTTAGGTGCCTATCACCTGCATTTGATGGCTCTAGCTGCAGGGGATCCAAAGCCCTCTTCCAGCATCCACGGGCATTTGTGTTCATGTGCACAAACCCATATAACAGATAATCACAAATATGCACAATTAAAATAAAAAAAACAAAGTCTCAAAAACAAAACAAACAAGTTGCCGGACATGGTGGTTCATGCCTTTAATTGGGAAGTAGAGGCAGGGGATCTCTGTGAGTTCCGAGCCAGCATAGTCTACACAGTGAATTCCAGGTCAGCGGAGCTACATAGTGAAACCATCTCTTCTCTTTTCCACCCCTCCCCTCAACAACAGCAAGCCCAACCAAACCAAACCAAACCAAACGAACAAGAATGGCTTTCTTATATACACCACTATGTACTACAACATAAAACGAAGAAAAAACTCTCAATTGTTCAATTAAGTACTTTGTTTCTAACATGAGGAGGAAGAGGAAAACACCAGCAAAATACAAGATGCAGGACAGATGCTACTGAGGCCAGGTAACTCGGTGCTCTGTGCTTTAGATGTCCTCTTAGTTACTTTTCTGTTGCTGTGATGAAACATCATGACCAAAAGCAACCCTAGGGGGAAAAAGTTTATTTTAACCTATCACTTGTAGCCCATCATCCCAGAAGTAAGGGCAGAAACTCAAGGTAGGAAAATGGAGGCAAGAACTGATGCAGAAGCCATGGAGGAGTGCTGCTTACTGGTTTGCTCCTCATGGCCTGTTCAGCCTGCTTTCATACAGCACTCAGGACCACCAGCCCAGGGATGGCACCACCCACAGTGAGCTCTGTAGTGGGTAGCTGTTCTGTCTATGACCTTGAAGCACCACCCCTAGAGATGCAGCAGGTAACTGCTCCACCTGCCTATGACCTTGAGATACATGCCCCTGGGGCATGGCCTCTCAGCAACCCTTAAGACCTGAGATGCAAGCAGGCATCCCTCTGCCCTCTTCGCTCCCTCGTGGGACTTCCATGCAGGACTGATTCAGGTAGCTGGCACAGTGTTCCAGAACCTGTGTCAATTCTGTTCTGTACAGTGAGTTTTTCCCCTTAATAAGTTCTTTGCCCTTTAAACAGACTCCACGGATTTCTGTTATAGAGTTGGACCCTCCCATATCCATCAATCAAGAACTGAGCCACAGTCTTGCTGTAGCAGTTAGAATAAGAATGCTCCCCCACCCCCCATTGGCTCATTTGAATGCTTAGTCACCAAGGGTGGAACTGTTTGAAAGGATCATAAAGATAGGAAGTATGGCCATGTTGGAGGAAGTGTGTCACTGGGGGAAGGTTTTAAGGTTTCAAAAGCCCATGCCAGGCCCAGAGTCTGTCTGTCTTTCTGTCTATCTGTCTGTCTCTCTCTCTCTCTGCCTACTGATCAGGATGAAGCTCTCAGCTACTGCTCCAGTGGCCTGCCTGTCCTCACCCTAAATTTTAAGACATTACTCTTTCCAATTTTATAAGAAAAACCATAGCTCAGATGGGTTAAGTAACATGCCCAAAGTTATAAAGCTTTTGTATTATAGACATATGATTTAAATTTTACCTACATATAATATATTATGCTTTATCATTTGTATCTAATGCCTTCTAAAACTGTGTATAGGAACCAACTGTTCTTTTTCTTTTTAAACTCAGAGACATATAATTCAAATAGCAAAACTAGTAATACTGTCCTAATTATTTAAATTTTAAATGTTAGCAACAATCTTCAACATATTACTTTATAAGTTTTCAGTCATTTAAAGTCAAGTTATCACTTCATTTTTACATGCAAATTACTCTTCAGAATTTGGCAGAAGTCATAGCCACAATATTTAAAGTCTTCTGGTGTCATATGTTTGGGATGCTTTTACTCCTATTCATAGGACACAGATAACTTTTGAGCATCCTCTAATGGAATCTCCTTTCCAACAAAATAATGACCACAGATCTCTATTACTCAACATACAGTGTCTCTTTCATTGTCAAAATTCAATCTCAGGGGGGCTCAGACTAATGAAATGCTCTTATTCCAAAACACTTAACACAATGAAAACCTTCCATCAATCTATCTAAAAAACAATAAACAATGAGCTTCAAATATATACTTGGCACTAGGTTAAATGGAAGGCATGTGAAGACTGTGAGAAAAATCCCTGCCTTCATAGAAATTAGAATTTTATCAATAAATCAAAATTCACAATAATTTTAACATAATAAAGACCTCAAGAAGATACAGTATAAATGCAGCAAATAAGGATCAGTTCAAAGGGAGTGGTTAAGTAGTATAAGAATAAAAGATGCAACAATGTGATACTGGGTTGTGGTAGACACAAAAGTATGAATGACTCAGTGAAGAGCCCATTGTATTTAAATACATGGAAAGGAGTAATCATACAAAATGTCAAACAGTCAAACAGTATGTTCAGAGTGAAAGAAAGAACGGTCTAGTCCGTAATTTAAAGACTAGAGAGGGAAAATGCTGGAATCACAGTTGGGAGGGTGGTCTAAACTAATATGAAGGTGTTTCCCCCACATCACACACTCAATTCATCCTAGCTTTCTACTTAAAAATCTTTATTAAATATAGTATTGAAGAAGTTCACTAGATGGCTCAGAAGAAGCAACAGAATTCAAAGAATTAAAAATCCTCAAAACTAATTTCCTACCTCAGCAGGCAGAGCAGCCATAACCACCCTAAGGGTGCAGCTCTGGAAATGGCTTCTTGATTTAAAAGCAACTGTGAACTAATTCTTTAGAAGCAACTCTTGGGCAATGCGAATTATTTTTCTTAAATTTATCATTGCTATACTTACTAAAATAAAATTAGAAGTCAGAAAGTAAGTTGACTACAAGATTTAACTTTTGCTATACCCTCAAGACACAGCTATGTAAACAGTAGTGAAGGGCTATAAAAAGAGCTGAATGTAACTGAACTACATGTCTTCTCTCTACTCTCGTAAGTGGTAAGGGCCTGTTCTTGTTGCTCACGGCAGTGTGCACACAGGTGCAGGCAGAGTAAGCTCTTAGACTGTGCCACCCCTCTACACATCTTTAAACCTGTAAGGCTGGCTTACATAATAAAGAGGGTACTACTGGTCTACTTAGGAGGGATTTTATGTTTGTCACAGATTCCAAATTCAAAGTAACCATAGACTCTTATCACTGATTAGTTGCCCACCTAATGGCAATAAACGGTATCCCCAAAAGCTCTCTTTTTCTAGTTCCAAATCATCCTATAACCCCAACCACAATGGCTAAATTTAAACTACTGTCTTTTTCCAGAACTTTTCTAAGGCAAAGAAAACATTATTTAGTATATTCATGATCAAAGAATTTAGTCACACTTGGCCTCTTTGTATAAAACAACAACAAAAAAACTATTCCTTAATATTTTAGAGTTGAAATACTTTATTTTTCTCTTTTGAATCTCCCAGTTTTTCAATGTTCAGATTTTACAATGTGATGGACCTAAATTAAATTTACATATAACTTTAAAAGTTTCTATAAGATCAGTTGCTTCCAAGATAGTCAAATGTTCCAATTTAGACATCTAGTTTGATCTTAAAGAATGGACAAACAGTTTATTAGGTTCTAAGAGAAAATCCACAGCATTAGAGGCAAGTTTCTTCCATGAGAGGGTTTTGCTACAAAGAAAAAGGTAAATTGGTGTTGGGGGGGGGGGCAGGAAGTAATGACAGCAAAGTATTTTCTGATAAATCATTAAAATGGTTTTTTACATCCCTAAATTATATGACTACATGAAAATGTGAACTATTCTCCTTCGGCTGGACCAAGTTCCTGGAACATGAGCTACATCTAACTGTCTTAAAAGACAGCAGGAACAGACCACAAATCAAAGGCCAGGCTCACATAATATTCATTTCTTAATTAGAGGATCAGGGGAGAACTCTCAACTTTATTGGTAGAATTCGGGTCTGAAGTTCAGTCATCTCAGGGACAGGCCAGGATATATAAACAGAAGCAAATTCAAGGGTGTGGAGCAGCACCAGACTATGAAGAGCACTCAAGCATTAACTAAAAGCTCTAATTTTAGCAGAGTGCATATAAATCAACTTTATTGGGTATTGCAATATAATACTTCTTAGAGAGTGGTATTTTGTTAAAGAACATAAATAAGTATTTAATGGC